CCTGTAAATCAGAAAAGTACCAAATCTTGTATTAGAAGGAAATTCTTCAAATAAGCGCTTTCACTTCAGATTTTTGTCTACAGCTTTTTTTCTTTCTAGTAAGGGGTAGAATTGGAGGGGGTTACTTGTCTAGATAAGACAGTCACTTGCAAGTATTTACAAAGTTCTTTTATATGTTAAGGATTGATATCAGTAATTTGGTTTTTTCGTGAACGTCCTTGTGTATGATGAAAAAGTAGGTGGGTTTATCATGTGGTCTAGTTTTTTATTATTTATTAGTTTTTAGGCTCATTATTTTTTGGAACAGAGTGTATATTAATTTTAGGTTGTAGTAGTTGTTTCGTAGTCCTGCACTGCCGATTAAAACCTTTCGAAAGCAGATTTAGGACTATTTCTAATTTTTGCAATATGGAGCTTTGTAATTTATTTTAAGATTAAAGCATTATATTACACTAAAGTATAGAAAGTTACTTAATGTTTTGTTTATTAATGCTGCAATTTCTTATTGTTTGTTAGTGCATCTCTGATTCTCTTGAATTAATTTATTTTTTTCAACACGAGTATTTAAAGTATAGGACCATGTACTGTTTGATGTACTTTCAATGAGCTCGAGAAGAAAGGTTATTGATGGCACTGGGTTGTGCGTACCAAGTGGCATGTTATTGGAGCTTATAAAGTAATTAGTTGATGAAAGAACAAATAAGAACAGCAAACGGAGAAATAACTTGATAATGTGGTATTTGCTTTTTAATTACAAGAAATGGTTATGGATTACTGTTGTCTCAAACCGAGAAGAGTTTATGTGGCTTCTAATTTTAGCTTTTCGATTTGTCTCCTGGTGTACTGGGCGTCTTGCATAATGAACATTCCAATAGTTGCATCCATAATCATCTTTGGTATGTCGGGCCCGTTGAAATCAACGCACATCACATAGTCGACAACAGTTCGGGTGCAGTCTTTAGGATGCATTCTAAATCTGCCGCCTGCCAGTACCACCTCTCCCCTGAATTTTTAGGATAAGTGGTTTTGTTTTTTATCTGGCCTCTGCCTGGAACGCATCTTTTTTTTTTTTTGACGGCTGAGATTTTCTTAAAGTAATTTACCAATGTCACAAAGCGTGCTTCGGATAGACCGGGGCTAGTTTTTAAGCGCGGTGGCATTTGCGAATTTAAAAAGCTCCTCCGTGAGAGTTGCTAGTTCTCTGCTTCTTGAAAGCAAAATACGTACCTGATTTTCAAAGGGTTTCTTGGTACGTCTTCTAGATCAAAACTGCGTGCCGCCTCCATAATTTCGTTTCCAATACGTTTAAAGGTTCTGCAGGTCAAAAATTCACGACCTTTAACTACAGCAACATCTTTCAAGGCGTACTGAAATAATTTGAAATATTTTTTCATTTTAATTTTTTAGATACGTTTTTTGATTGCAGTCAACCACTGTTCAGTTGTGGTATCAGTTACGGAGACGAATATATCTGCATTTTAAATTACGGACGTACGTAAACTACGTCGGAATTTGTTGCTAATTCTGCTATAACTTTAACATCAGAAATATTCTTGTTGAAGTGTATAATGTCAGTGAAATTTTCCCAGTGCTCTGCAAATGCTTGCTGCAGTGGAAAATCGAATTCTGTCTGAAAAATTGCCAAAAGTAAGTATCTTGCTTGCTTAGGATGCGTCCTTATTTGTTCGCAGAAACAACGATAAATGAAAACTATTAAAAGCAAAATTCTTTCGTTGCAATATTTCCTTACCCGCATCGTGAATACTTTTCCCATTGCGTATCGTTTCGAGTAAACAACATCTTTCCCATTTGCATTCTTCCGTTTCCATCCATCTCGGTCTTCAAAATCCGGATTGTTCACTAACTCCATCATGTCACGGAGAGCGATATTTGCATTTTTTAGACCTTGCGCATACTAAAAAGTTTTTTCGGTTTGTGAAGACGTTAAGAATTTTCAGTTTTTAATTTAGAAGCAAGAATTTTACTGTTAACAGGACATTCTGGCCAGGAATTTAAATATGGTTTTGTTTGAAGTTTTGCCAGTTTTAGCAGTCTTTTTTGGTATTTGATGCTTGCAGTAGTTGTAGTGTAATTGAATACAGCAATAAATTTTGCTTTTGACCTCTTTATTGCAACTTGTTAGGCTTGGAAAAGAACTGAAGATGATGGTTTTTGTATTATTAATTGCTTATTTCTCCTCTGAGTTCACTATTTTTTTTTTTTTTTT